CATTCGGTGCGCTCCATCTCCCACCCTGCCAAAAAGCTCGTGGCTGAAGAAGGTGCCCAGATTCTACCAACTTGCGCTGTCAATGCGGGAGTCGCTGCTACGCATCTCGCTCGTTCGGTTCGAGGTCAAGTGAGATTGCGCTGCAGTCGCACTGGGTGCTCAGGGCATCGAATCTCCTCCGAGCTGTGCGTGGCAATCCCGAGGATACGAACGCACGGTCTCAAAGCGGCAAGTCTCTGGAATGAGTCTCCGCCGAGCTGGGCCGAATTGATCCGAATCGCACGGCCTCCGTTGCGTTGAGTCAGCGTCGCACAGCAGTGCAGATACTCGAGCGGGAGAGACCGGGCGTTCTGCAACTCTGCATCCATCCGAGGCGATGACCTTGCGCGGAATTCGCCGTTGAGCCGCAATCGCCCACTCATCTATCGTGCAACGACCTCGGCGGTGGCGCATCGCGGTGGGTCAGATCACAACGAAAGCGGCACACGAGAGGAGTGAAGCGGCGGGCGGCGGGCGGGACGCGCCTTTCTCCGCCGTTGCTTTGTTCGACACTCCGACGCTCAACTGACTGCGATCAAGCGATGCTTGAACAAAGACGCGCGAAAGCTCTGAGCGCGAATTTGAAGTGACAGTGGGCGGGCGTGCGAGAGAGTGGCGGATGCAGGTATCGCCCACGCGAGGAGAAATATGCACTCCACTGTTCTTGGCATCTCGCGTGGAATGCGGAATCCCCGCGAGCTTAGGAGCTGCATCCTGGCTTCTTGTTCCGCGTGGTGTTTCGACGCTCCGCGCTTCTGCGCTCCACCGGCTGGGCGGATACATCCGCCTCTGCTCTACTGCTTTGTCTGTCCTCTTTACCGACGGCAGTTCGGTTGTCTGCCTCGAACCGCAACCCCCCCATGGCGGAGAATTGTCGGAGCGACTCATCACTCCTGGCCCGCGTGCTTTCGCCACTGAGACCCACTGCGGATGCGTATGTGCAAATGGGTGCATCCCTGCATCCCAATTCTTGGCATCCCATGCGAATACAAGGGCAAACGGCCATTTCAAATAGCGTGCAGGCGATGAATACGTTGTGGCCCGTCTTCCAAGTGTAGTTCATTTGACCTTCCTTGGACAGTGTCGCATACATGTTGATTATGCTGTGGCTGCATTCCCAGGATCCATCCAAGGCGATTCCGGAATTCACCGATCCGCCGCACAGTGATTGGTGCGTGCGGTTTGGCAGTTTCGGAAGACACCACCTTTGAGAAAGGAGCATCAACGGAGAGATACGAGAGTGTTGCGTCGGACTGTGGGGCACCGCATTCTGTCGTCCGTCGCGTGGCAATGCCCTTGCGCAACCATGCAAGCACCTGCCTGGACGACCTCTCCAGGAACGTCGCGCCCGAGCCTCGCGTCTGGCTTACTGGCCAGTAGGAATGTGAGCCGTCAGTCCTGTCAACGTCCGCACCGTTGCTGCAGAGCTCTCCTCGCCGGTCGGCAAAGTCTCCTTTGCATACAAGCGTCGTGCCTACTTAAGGAGCATGGACTTGCCTCAACCTTTGTCCATGCTTCCCCACAATCTTTCCCTCCCTCCTAAGAACCCTAACCTGTCTACCTCCACTTGATTCCACCATGACTGAGGCCAAGAAGGGTGTCCTCGCACAGGGCGTGCAGAACTTCACCGATCTCTTCCACTGGAAGGTTCGTTCGGTCACCATCGACGAAAATGGTGAGGAGGAAGTCACCTGGGAGAGGCCCCAGCGACCCCCCAACCCGTTCCGCCTGCTCGGCATGCTTGGCATGGCCGGATGGGGTGCCTACCTGATCGGATTCTCGGCCTGGACCGCCGACGCCTTCGACTTCCATGCCCTCTCGATCCAGACCACCAAGATGTCGAAACACTTTGGTGTCTCCAAGACCCGAGTCACCGAGGCCATTACGCTCACCCTGCTGCTCCGTTCGGTCGGCGCTGCCATTTTTGGCATGTGCTCCGACTACTTTGGACGCAAATATCCGCTCGTTCTCAACATGTGGGCTCTCGGTGCCCTTCAGGTCGCCTCCATCTACTGCAAGAACTTCAACCAGTTCCTCGCCGTCCGTGCAATCTTCGGACTTTGCATGGGCGGTGTGTACGGCGGAGCAGCCAGCATGGCGCTCGAGAGCATCGACCCCGAGGCAAGAGGTCTTTTCAGTGGTATCTTCCAGCAAGGATACAGTTTTGGATACGTTTTGGCGGCTTGCGTCAACCTCGGAGTCGGCGGCGCGGTTTCGACCTGGCCGATCATGTTCTGGGTCGGAGCGGGATTCAGCTTTGCTGTCGGCTTCCTCAGGCTCCTCTGGCCCGAGTCCAAGCAGTTCATCGAGGCCCGAAACGCGTCCAAGGGCTCCGGTACCAAGAACTTCCGCAAGTCGTTCTTTGGCATGCTTAAGAAGGAGTGGAAGACGTGCATCTTCGCTATCATCTTGATGAGCTGGTTCAACTGGTTCTCTCATAGCAGCCAAGACTCGTACACGACCTTCATGCTCTCCGGAAAGCAGCTGAACAACACGGCGGCATCGAGGGCATCGATTTTGATGAAGACCGGCGCCTGCGTCGGCGGAACGATCTGGGGCTACATGTCGCAGTGGATTGGACGACGACGCGCCATGATCTTGGCCTGCCTTGTGTGCTGCTGCCTCATTCCTGCTTGGATCCTTCCAAACTCCGAGTCTGGTCTCGAAGCTGGCGGCTTTTTGCTTCAGGTAAGTGTGATGCACGAGGAGGAAAGATGGTTCGATGAAGGTTCCGATAACTGACACCTGACGTTTTTTTTTTTTTTTTTTT